ACCCACACATGGCTGGCCAACTGTTAAGGTTAGTGGTTTTCCTGATTCGGCCATTGGGTGTCTGCTCTGATTGATGAGGGCTGTGCCACAATGATGGTTAAAAATTTTTAATTCCACCCTGGTCCCTGGCCTTGTTTTTAGTGGGTCGATATAGATATTAATTAATATTCACATTAACAAATGTATAATTACAAACTGAAATAAGGAAAAGAACTTCCAACCTGACCTAGACTGGGAGAGGTGGTCAGGGAAAGCTTCCTGGAGGAAGAGACCCTTGACCTGAGATCCTAATGATAGGCAGGAGATAATTGGTTAAGACATAGGAGTAGAGCAGAAAGGTAGAGCATCCTGAGCCCAGAGAGAGAGCCAGATGATTTTGTAGATAGAGTTTGGTTGAATCCTCTAAAATGAAGGGGTGGAGTGGAGATTGAGCTGTGAAGAGTTCTGAGTTGGTTTGGGCGTCAGTGCCTGCTATGGTCTGAATGTCTGTGTCCCCCCCTCAAAATTCATACATTGAAATCCTAATGGCTGATGTGGTGGTATTGGTAGGTGGGGCCTCTGGGGGGCGCTTAAGCCATGAAGCTGGAGCCCTCCTGAATGGGATTAGTGCCTCATAAAAGAAGATCCAGAGAGCTCCCTAGCCCCTGCCACCACATCAGGACACAGCAAGAGGCGCTGCCTTGTGACCAGGAAGAGGGTCCTCACTAGAAGACAGTCATGCTCATGCCTTGATCTTGGACTTCTCACCTCCAGAACTGTGAGAAATAAATTTCTGATTTTTATAAGCTACCCAGTCTGTGGTATTTTGTTATAGCAGCCCGAATGGACTAAGACAGTGCCCTTTTTGGGGGAGCAGCGGGGAGTGGAGGGGGAACTGGTGGGATTTATATAAGAGGTGGTGGCTCAAACCACTAGCAGCTGAAGTGCAAAATGATTCACATTCAGCACTGCTGTCTACACTGCAGGTTAGAAAGAAGGCGCACAGCAAACGGGAACAACCCCTCGGAAGCTGACAAACCCAGAGACTGCTAGTCCATCCAGCTCTGTCCACACCGGCAAAAGCTGCCATTTCACATGGGGACGCCCCCCTTCATCAATGAAAAACCCCAGGACTACCAAAATGTGGAGACATGGCTGAGCCAAGTCATCTCTTCCTTTCACCTTTGACAGGGGAGGGCTTCAACTGGTACTCAAGTTTATCAGTCACGACTCTCAGTTGCAAACAACAGAATCCAATCCAGCCAGTTTAAGCAGAAAGCACTCACAGAATTTCCGGGAGAACCAGGGAATGAAGCTTCAACCCTGTGCAACCTGGAACCGTGCCCAAATCACAGTGTCCCACCACCCAGCAGAGACCCTGAGCCCACCGCTGGGCACAGTCACCTCAGCCTGCACCACCCATGCCACCACTAGGACCTTGCCACCACTGCCTTTACCCTGTGGCCAGGCTAAATCCTCCACCGCATCTCCATCTTCACCTCTCTCTCCCCTGAAGGGAAGTCTCCTGCACGCACACTTGACTAGTCAAGTTTAGGTCACGTGTGTGCACCTTGGCTTTAAGGTAGACTGGGAAAGCACTGCTAGCTTCTTTCTTAGGGAAGTGGGACTTAGAAGGTAAGAAATTCCCCAGGCATATGAAATGTGCTCAAGAGGAGCCAATAGGCGTGTTTTCTGCTCCTATTAAGCACTAGAGGTCTGTGGCTAAGCCTGCATTGTTTTCCAAGATTGGGCACAGTCAGAGCCCCCATCGTCCTGTTTCTGATATGTTAAACAGGGCCATCTAGGACAAAATAAAACCCCCTTTGTCTTGGAATGCTTTACTTCCACACAGGACCAGCTACGTAATTTGCAGAGCTCAATGAAAATGCTGAGTTCCTTGTTCAGAAATTAAGAGTTTAAAGACAGAGACAGAGAGCATTAGACCAAGCTGGGCCCCTCCGAGCACGGGTCCCTGCACTCCTGCACAGATCACACACCTCTGAAGCCAGCTCTCTTCCTCTTTCCTCTGGTTGACCAGTAGGATTTATGTTGTTTGGATACTTGTCTAAAATGCTGTTGCTAGACATGGCAGGAAGAGGTGGGAACTCAAGTGATATCCTCGACAATAAGATACCTGGTAAGGTCTGGGTCCATCTGGAAACCTATTAGAGCTCATTGGACGGGTATCATGCTGGAACTTACACAAAGAAGAAGAAACAATAAAACTCCAAGGCTGAATTGAGAATAAAGTTGCTTTGGCAAGCTTGCTCATCCTGCCTCTTCTTATAATGCCCTACTGTTTGTCATGGGATATAGTTGTTATGGTGAGTGAACTGGGACAGATTGTGAAATGTTACAGAGGAGCTCTTTCTTTCTTTCTTTTCTTTCTTCCTTTCTTTCTTTCTTTCTTTCTTTCTTTTCTTTCTTTCTTTCTTTCTCTCTCTCTCCTTTCTTTCTTTCTTTTTTCTTTTTCTTTCTCTCTTTCTCTCTCTTTCTTTTCTCTCTCTCTTTTTCTCTCTCCTTCTCTCCCTCCTTCTCTTTCTCTCTTTCTTTTCCTTCTTCTATAAACCTTGGTCAAATGTATCCTTTGAAGAGAAGGTAAGACATCCATACCCTGATATTGCACACCAAAGGATACACATGCCCAACATTTATGTAAAAAGAAGAAACATCCCAAGACTCAACCATCCATACTAGGCTTCTTCAAAGATCTATGGGGCCTCAGCTACCAAAAGAGAAATCTTGAAACTGGTAATACCTCATACTCATCTGCACACCTGGAAGGATTCCAGTTGTCCATATAACCGTAAGTCTAATTCCCACCTGCAGTGGTCAGGTGGTTTGAGTTGTGGTATGAAAATGTCGGCCCTTGGAAGGTGAAAGGCAAAGCATGTCCTTAAACGTGCTGAGGCAAGGAAGAATAATGCAAATGTAGACAAGAGGAAAGCCCAGTTTGGGGACAAGAGAGACTATTTCTTGCATCAAAGTGCAAAGGAAAAGCAAAATCATAAATAGTATGTGGATAGCAGAGCTGGAAATCTAAGAAGATTAAGAAAATGGAAAGAGGAAGGAGGAAGTGAGTACAGATGCTTCTGGAACAAAACCCAAGGATTCTGATTTGCGGGGCTTATTTAGTACAGCAGATGCTAAAGCACCCCAACTCTGCAGTCAGTCTCCCGGATTGTAAAAGCTCCCCTCCATTTACTAGCTGTGTGACCTTGAAGAAGTGACTTAATCTTATCAAGCCTCAGTTTTCTCATCTACAAAATGAAGATAGTAATGATAAGTATATGAATGACTAAATCATTTATTAAACATTTATAACAGTGCTGGTTCACGGTAAGAATTCAATAAATACTAGCCAAGGTCATGATGATGGTGATGATGATGAAGGTGACTGATGAAAACAGTCAAGGATGCTGGCCTCTCCTGCCAGAGCAGAGAACCCTGGAATGAGCATCATGGGGTGAGGCTGATGAACATACAGACTTCACAAGTGAGGGGTAATGATGGGAGACGAGGAAGAACCAGGAGAGAAAAAGACAAAAGTCACAGGGAGCTGGTTAGGAGGCCTTTGCATCATTCCCAGTGAGAGACTGAGCCCTGCCCAGGGCAGTGTCTGGGGTGATCTCTAGACATTCACGAGGCTGAATTGTAAATACATGTTACACACAATGATCATCAAGCTGTGTGGTTTCCCAGCTTTATAGCGAATATTTGGGCAGTGTCCACAAAAATTGAGTGGAGACACAGTCAGTAGGGCCTCGCTTGGAGATGAAGGGCAGTGGAGTGAGGAAGAAAGAGCTCTGCACTCAGAGCTGCACGTCTGAGCAATGGCTCTGCGCTGATGGGAATTCTTTTTCCCACTGCGGAGATTTACAGGACCCTACAGGAAGTCAAAGAGCTCCCCTGCCCACTTGCTGGCTGCTGGGGCATCAGAATCGGCGAGTTCCCCTGTCTGAACCACTCCCTCTTGCTTTAGGTAAGAAAAGGAGTAAGGAGAAAAGAGAAGTGTCTGACAAGCTTTTGGTTTTGTTTTTCTCTTCTGGAAATGTTCTGTGTTGGGTCAAATTACCACACATATGATACGTGCATATGTGTTTGTGGGTATTTCCTTTTTCTGATTACAAAAGTAACGAATACTCATTACAGAAAACCTGGAAAATACAAAAAGCCAAGAGTTAAAAATAGAAATCACTGATAAGACCATTATCCCGAGATAATTGATTTATTACCTTTCCTTTCATTCAATCACAATATGTATATCACACAAACACACATATATATTTATTACACTTATATTATACATTTATATTATATTTAGACAGTTGGGTTATATGATAAACAGTTTTATATCCCATCTCTTGCACTTATTGTTGACATTTTCCTATGTGATTAAATGTTCTTTGAAAACATTTCATTTACTTACAGTGAAATTGACTCCTTTTGATGTTCAGTTCTGTGAGTGTTGACAAATACGTAGATTCACAATGTACAAAGTTTCATCACTCCCCCCAAATTCCCTCACACTGCTCCTTTTTAGTCAGCCCTCCCCCTAGTCTTAACCCCTGGCAACCACCAATCTGTTCTCCGTTCCTATAGTTTTGCATTTTCCAGAATGTCATGTAAATAGAATCATACAGTATATAGTCTCTTGGTCTGGCTTCTTCCACTTAGCACAAATGCCAACAGCTGGTTACTTTTTATTGCTGAGCAATATTCCATGTAGAGATGTATCAGAGTTAGTTTATCCATTCACCAGCTGAAGGACATTTGGGTTGGTAAACATGACTTTTACTATTTGAATAATATTCTATCCTACAGATATACCAACCCATATGTAACCAGTTTCCTATTATTAGACATATTGGGTTTTTTCCCCCATTACAAATAACCATTAAATGAACATCTTTATACATAAATCTTTGCCTACCAAATATATATGTATACATTTATATAGTGTACATAGATCATAAGCTATCAATAAGCATGCAGTGTGCCCTACTGGGGATATAGAAAAAATATAAAATACAGTTCTATTAGAATTTTCTAAAAATGTTTGACTGTATAACAAACAGTCTGGGTCTCAATGCTTTGTATCAATATGAAAATAAGAAAATAATTTATTTTAATTCTAATGCAGCAGTTTTAACCTGTTAAATAAGACTAATCTCTTGTTTTTGAAATCCTGGGCATGTGTGTCATTAAAAACCCATTTCAGGACATTGTTTTCCCAGCAGGAAGCTTCTTTAGACAATGGAATCACTGAGTGTACACAGAACAAGAAGGATGAGTGTGCAAGGGCAGGTGTCAGGGGCGGGGGCTGGTTAGGGCAACAGAGCTGAGTTTCTAGCTACTTTTGAGCAACTGAAGCCACAGCCACTAAGAGAGGAATGATGAGGCTGGCACTTTGTTCTGCATAGAGGGATGGGACTTCTTGTTGAGTAGGTGCTGCTGCCCTGTAAATTAAATAGCAAATAGAGAAAATGTCAGTATTGGTGTATGGCACCTACTTTTGAAAATATACAAGCAAGTTGCAGAAAAATTCAAAAAGTACAGAAGCTTATAAAGGAAAAAATAAAAGTCCCTTAGTCTCCCCATTCCCACTTTTCACAGAGAATCAATCTTGGAACTTTGAGTTGTCCTTCCAGGAATGAGATACGTGCACACGTACGTGCACACACATACATACACATTCACATATCCTTTTATCTAAGAACAAATGGAACCTGCAACTGCTTTCTTCACCTAACACCATTTTTTGGACATACTTCCATGTTGTACTTACAGAGTTAATTCATTCTTCCTCATGGAAGAATTCCTATTGTGTGGATGTACTATAAAGTCAGCCAAGTTCCCTACTGATGGACATTTCATCATCAGAGTTTAAGTGGTGAGGAAAAACCTGTCCTGACATAAAGACATCGAGAGAGGACCTGGCCAAAATATGGACTCTGGTCATAACAAACAGGGTCTGACCACTGGATTTTTAAAAAACAGAAATTACTGAATTCTTTGAAACCAATTAAAAGAGAAATTTTTCAAGCTAGGAAATGATCTGATGTTGGCTTGGAAATGTAGCCCATGGCTCTCGACTAGTGGCCAGGGTCCTTGAAACTTCCTTACTCCATTTGAGCGCTGGTCGCTCCTTTTTTGCTCAAGGAATCTCCAGCAGCCCACAAATCTGTACTAGTGCTCCATCTGCTGGACATTTTCTACAATTGCACCTCTGATTCATTAACGTCCCAGACTTGATTCATTCAAAATTGATGAACTTTCTTTTTTGCTTTTAAATAATTAATGAATTAATACAAAGATACATTTATTTTTATTTTTTTAAATAAAATAATACAGAACGAAACAGAGTAATAATGAGTCTCTCTTCATCTTTTTCCGGTTCTCACTCCCTTCCCTAGTAGTAACCACTGTTGGCAATTTGGAGTTTATCTTCTCAGACTTATTTCTATCATTTATGTCCACTATCATGCACAAATAGAAACAGTTTTGTTTTCCTTTGCTTTCTATGTCTGGGTCCACGTTCTATGCATTGATTTGTCACATTCTAGCTTAAGCTTTTCATGTGGACGTGAGGTTGGGCTTGAGGGCAGCTTTTTCGTGCACAGAAAAAACCACTATTTGCAGTAACTTTGGTTTTAAAAATTAGTTCTAGCTATTAGATTTATAAATTCAAAACCCTGATTTTCCCATACACTTTTCTATTTAATTTATGAATTGCATTGTTCTATTTAAAAACCTAGTGAACCCTGATAATAATTTTTAAGGGGGCTTCACACATTCAAATTCCCTTGAATATTTTAAAGTCAAATTACTTTAGGTTAAATTATTTTAAACATAAGTTTAAAAATATTACCTTTTCTTTTTTAAATACTTTAATACTTTAAATGACTTTAAATGAGCAAAACCTTCTCAAATACTTGATTCTAGTAAATCTAATAAATGTATAAAATTTAATCTTAATTCTCTTAAACATTCCAACAACGATTAAAAACTTAGTAAAATTCTCAAACATAGTTAAAATGTCTATGTTACCTAAAGCAATCTACAGATTCAATGCAATCCCAATCAGAATCCCAATGACATTCTTTACGGAAATAGAAAAAAGAATACTAATATTCATATGGGGCAACAAAAGACCCCGAATAGCTAAAGCAATCCTAAGAGAAAAGAACAAATCTGGAGGCATCACAGTCCCTGATTTCAAAACATACTACAAACGGGCCGGCCCCGTGGCTTAGAGGTTAAGTGCACGCACTCCGCTGCTGGCGGCCCAGGGTTCGGATCCCCGGCGCACACGGACGCACCGCTTCTCCGGCCATGCTGAGGCCGCGTCCCACATACAGCAACTAGAAGGATGTGCAGCTATGACATACAACTATCTATTGGGGTTTTGGGGAGAAAATAAATAAATAAATAAAATTAAAATAACTGTTTAAAAAAAAAAACATACTACAAAGCAATAGTAATCAAAACAGCATGGTACTGGTACAAAAACAGACACACAGATCAATGGAACAGAACTGAAAGCCCA